AAAACATATAGCTATATATATATATCTATCTATCTATATATATATAGATAGATAGATATCTATATATATCCATATATATAGATATATATACACAATCTACTGTATATCATTGTGTGGGCTTGCTGTGTTCATGAATAAAAGCAAATTCCATCATGGCCAGGACCAAGTAATTATGGAGGACTGCATGGAATAATTCTAAAGGAGATTATTGACTGTATGGAAAGTACTGTATATAAAGAGATGTAAATACCATTTAGTGAAGATCATGGTGTCTCTTGCATAATTTAATTAGATTGAACAATATTTATACTTAACCTGCTTGAAAAATAAATATGGGGTTTACAATATGATATTAATGAATCCCAATGAGGATGGTATCAACTGTGGTATTCAGTGGTATATATCTGTTTCTGGAAAAGTGAAGGCACTCGGTCAGAAAGACCGAGTTTATTTCGTATTTCCGAAATCGGGTCCTTTATGTGTTTCGTTTTGGGTTTCGGATCGGATTTGTAATTCGGATCGGATTCGTAATTCGGATTTGTAATTCGGCTGAATTTCCGAAATATTTGGGGTTTTGCGCGAACGGACGAGTGTTGGTACGCATGCACAGTAACATGAAGTAATGTTTTGTTTTTATCTTCACATGCTATGAAATCCTCTTTTTGAAGTCATTATCGAAAATTTCCATTTTCGTTTCTGTTAGCATGAAATTCATACTGAATCCGAAATTCCGAATCCGAAATTTCGGATCCGAAATTTCGAATTCGGATGCATTCGGATGAATTTGAACATGCTACATTTCGGAAATTCGGATGCTCCGAATCCACGAATTTCCAAAATGTCATCCGAATTTTGATTCGGAACTAAACAAATCACACATGTCTAATAGCATCCTTAAATAAGTAAGGTAAAAAAGACCAAGGCAATACATACATCCCAATTATAATCACTGACCCTCTCTGCTTCTCTCAAATTCTCTCATCAACAGAGCCATGCCATCCAACAGGGATATGATGGGAGTGTAGTGCCGTCCTAATTATTCACAGTTTGGCACAGAGTAGACCACCTGTGCCTACCCACACAACATGTTGATGTCAGTGTGATGCCCCACCCTTATGTAGCATTATCACATTGTGCACAAATGTATTGCATCTATGACCTGATGCCAAATGAAGATGTTTATTGACAAACGTTGAGATAATATAAAGAGAAAACATGTTTTTTTAAATAAACTGATATTTGGTTTTAAATCATACATAATTATAAAATGTATCTACACTAATGACATCAAGTTTTTATAGCTACATAGTTACATAGTATTTGAGGTTGAATAAAGACAGAGGTCCATCAAGTTTCAACCTTTGTGTTATTGTGCATTTGTGTGTGTGTGTGTGTGCACGAGTCCCTGTGCGATCTAGTTTTTAAGAGTACCTGTCCCCCTGTATGTTATTGTCTATGAGGAAGGTATCTAAATGCTTTTTGAATGATTCAATACTCACTGGTGATACCACTGCTTGTGGAAGAGGAAGTCTACACAAAAAAAAGTCAATATGTATGAAAGGCCACATTAGTTCAGACACGGGATACAGAGAGAAGGAGATTATGTGCAAGGAGGACAACACAACTATTATGTACCGGTACAAAATAGATTTAGTTCTCTGGGCAATAATAGATCCTCATTACAGGAGAACACTAAACCTAGGCACTACTACAAACAACATTTTGCAAAAGAGGAGATCACCCCCCACCTTTTCCACAAGAGAGATCACTTCCACCTTTTTTAGGGAGGTAACAGTATAACCAGAGGAGAGAGAATGAGTTTTGGAATCACAGCAGAACAAATTGGAAAGGGGTAAGAGAAGAA